TAAAAATAAAGTTGCGTGCCTAAGTGCACTGAGCCTTCGGCGTTGAACGTCCCCCGGATCATCCATCCGAGTGCCGCGTTAGAAATGGAACTTCCTTAAGTTTATATCATTCCACGTTCTTGGGATTTGCCTTCCTTCCATCGTTTCGAGCACATATGCATTACTGCAGTAGGCTTCAATGACCTTATATGTTCCTTCCCATGTGGGGCCCATCTTTCCTTGCAGTTGGGCTTAGCTTGCATCATTTCACCTCAAAACGTAATACCCTACTTTGAAAACTTTTTCTTTGACCCTTTGGTTGTAATACCTTTCCACAACATTTTTGTAGGCTGCCTAACGAATGTTCGATCGTTCACACTTCTCTTCGATGAGATCCAAGTTTGCTCTCAGATATTTGTTATTACTTGCTTCTTCGAAATGGGTCATTTGGACCCAAACGTTAATTCTACTGGCAACATTGCGTCCGTGCTGTAGGTTAAGCTGAAACTAGTTTCTTTTGTGCTCACTCTTAGCGTTGTCCTGTACGACCAGAGCACGCCTGGTATCTCTTTGAACCAATTGCCCTTAGCTTTTCCCAAGCGCTTCTTAGTTCCATATACCAACGTCCTATTGGACACTTCTATTTGGCCATTCTCTTGGGGATGTGCTACTGACCTTGGAATGGATTCTCGACAAACTATAAGTCGTTATAACTAATGAGTATCTTTGGTATTCCAAACCTTGTTACAATATTTTTCCACATAAACTTTATCATCTGTCTCCCTGATATGCATGCTAATGGCTCAGTTTCTATCCATTTTGTGAAGTAATCTACCATGAGTACCAGGTACTTTTCTTTTCCTGGGGCATCTGGGAACGGCCCAAAAATGTCTATTCCCTACTGATAGAAGGGCCAGGGGCTAGAAATACCCGTCAAAGGCGTTAGGAGGTTCCCTTGGATAGGAGAGTACGTTTGACACTCTACACATTTTTGTTTTACTTCCAATGCATCCCGATGTTTGGTTGCCCATTCGAAGTATTTGTCATGTGAGGGCCCTTGTCCCTTCATGTGCACCTGCTGAGCCGACATGTGTCTCTCAAAGTGCCCCCTTTCCTTTGGCTTCCTCCACACATTTTAACCATGGCGACATGAATCCATTTCGATACAATACTCCATCCACGATTGCATACAACGGTGATTTGATCAGTATTCTCCTAGCTTCTTCATGGTCGTCATGCAAAATACAATGTTGCGTGTATTTGACTATCGGTATCATCCATGTGTGTCAGGTTGGTGCTAGAGTGTGTACTCATCGTTCGTGTATATACTTGTCTCATTGAGCACCTCCACGATGACCTTTTTGGACAAGTGATCGAAACATGTTGACGCTAACTAGCTGAGGGTGTCTGCTCTTCTGTTTTGTTCTTTCAAGATCTTCCTAATGGTGAACGCTTTAAGGGGCTCGACAAGCCATTGCACGACTTTCATGTATTTCTCCATTTGTTTGTCTTTCTCTTTGAATTTTCCATTGATTTGATTAGTTGCTAATCTTGAATCCGTTAAGGTTACTACTGCTTCTGCGCCCATATGCTTTCCTAATCATAGGCATGCTAGCAAGGCCTCGTACTCGGCTTCGTTGCTAGAAGTGTGGAAATCGAAGTGGAGAGCACGGGTGATCTGTTCCCCCTCCTTAAGATCAGGCCAGCTCCCGACCTTTCTTTACTGGATTCTCTGTCAGTGTACAAGGTCCACTTTTGGTTGTTCCTAGACTGGCCTGTCCCTAATGATTATTTTGTCTAAATTATTGCCTTTTACTCGCCTAGGATTTCGAGGAGAAAGTCTGCTAATGTTTGACCTTTGATAATGGTACGTGGGCGGTAGCTGATATAATGCTCCCCTAGCTCGATTACCTATTTCGCTAGTCGCCCGGATGTTTCTAGCTTGAGCAGTATTTGTTTGACAGGACAGTTTCTTAGCACCTCTATCTAATGTGCTTGGAAGTAGCGTCTCAAGTTTCGCGCTGCATAGATGAGTGCTAACACTAGCTTTTCGATAATGGGATAATTGATTTCAGGACCCTGCAGTGCTTGACTAACAAAGTAAACTGGTGCTTTCCTTCCTTCCATTTCTACAACCAATATCGAAGACATGGCTTCATCTGAGGCTGAGAGGTATACTTGCAATGTTTTTCCTGGGATGAGACTCACCAACGTGGGTGGCTTGTACAGGGCCTCTTTAATCAACTGGAGCGATGCTTCTGCTGCGGCTGTCTATTGGAAGTTGTTCTTTTCAGTGCATCCTTTGAGGGTGTTGAAGAGACGCAGGTAATTTTCTGTTGATTTAGAAATGATAAGGCTTAGAGCGGTCAGCTTCATGTTTACCCCTGGGCATCTCGTAAGGTATATGGGGATGACACCTCCATTAACTCATCTACTTTGGTTGGGCTTTGAATTCCGTTTGTGGTAATGTAGTACGCCAAGAATTGGCTTTCCTCAACACTGAAGGTACACTTTCCTTGATTTAGCTTCATCTTGACTTTTTCTAACGTTTTAAATGTTTCTTCTACATCTTCTAGTAGCTTCTTGTCATCAGGGCTTTTTATAACCATGTCGTCAACGTATACTTAGATATTTCTCCCGATTTGTTTCGCAAAAATAGAGTTGACGAGTTGTTGGTAGGTTGTCCATGTGTTCTTCAAACTGCATGACATTTTGGTGTAGCAGAAAGCCCCATGGTCTGTGTAGAAAGCTATATTCTCCTCATCTTCTTTTCTTATCAAGATCTGATGGTACCCCTTGTATGCGTCTAAGAAGCACTTTAGTCTGAAGCCTTGCAAGGACTCAAATTTTTGGTCAATTTCTAGCAGAGGGTATCAGTCTTTGGGGAACACCTTGTTCAGATTGGAGTAATCGATGTACATGCGCTACGAGCCATCGTGTTTCCTTACCATGACGGGGTTGCAATCCATGTCAGGAAAACTGCTTCTCGTTGTATCCCCGCCTTGGTCAATTTAGCAACTTCGGCATTGATTGCCATGTTCCTATCTCCCCCTTGAACCTTTTTTTCTATTTTGTTTCTTTAGTAACCGGTTTGATCATGACTTTGTGTTCTATGACCTTCCTATCTACCCTACCATGTTCGTAGGGTCCAAGCAAAGATGTTCTTGTATTTTTTTCAAGAGGTCGATTAATGCCTGTCTTGTGGTCGATGGAAGGTTGCTACCTACCCTGAACGGTTGGTCTACGTATTTGCTATTGATAATTTCTTTTCCACTTGCTGGCTCTACTCGTGATTTCTTGCTTTCCAGCACGAGTTCATTTAGTAGCATGATATCATAATATTGTAAGTCCCTTGGTGACATTTCTAGGACTGTTCTTGACCCCTCCATTGTGCCGAACTTTACTATTTCGTGCATTGTAAATGGGACCGCCCCAGACGTGAGTAGGATCGTCCGTACAAGGATGATGTTATGCTCTACGAGGTGCCTTATCACAACAAAGTCTATTATGATTTTTCTTCTTCTTTACTTTTTCATGGCTAATCAACGTGAAATGCAAATGAATCATGCCTAAGGGCCATATGTTGTGTCCTGTGAAACCTGTTAGTCTCCCCATTGCAAGTTTGAGGCTCGCCATCCATCCATCGGGTAAGAGGCGGAAACAATGCTCGTAGATGTTGTCCGTTGAGCAGCCTATATGGATGGATACCCAGTGGATCGTCACATCTTTGATGGAACCTTGGATTATGTGCGGGTCGTCGCCTCTCCAGCCCATTGGTAGATTATCTTTTGCTAAAAACATTAATCCTTACATGCATCTGGTGAGATTGTCCATGTCATCATGTTCCTTCTGCCTTCCTCGTTTGGAGCGTATCTTCAGGATTTCGTTAGGTTGACTGCATTCTTTGGTGGTCTCAGCATCAAACTTGGCGTGAAGGCTTCGTGTCACCTCGATGAGGTTCCCTTCCAGTTGTTTTCTTCCATTTCCCCTTTTAACATTGAGAAGTTGATCGTGTCCTGAATTTACTCTTGTGGTTATCACACTATCGTCGATTTCCTCCCTTTACCGGTTGCTTGTCAGGGACTACATAGACATCTGGCCCCTTGCCTCGCCTTTCATCTCTTTGGAATGGCCTAAAGTGTCCATGTGAATGCTTTCCTAACACAAAGTGCCAGCTCCCGTCTTGGGTCTCTGGGTGAGATGGTGGCGAACTATGGCATTTTGTGGCCGAGGCGTTCATGACGTTCAGGTATGCCTGTTTCGTAGCCTCCCATTCTTCTTGTCTTAGGTAGCGTTCTATTTTTTCTTTTAGCTCTGCCCGTATCAACGACTTTTTTCCTATGATATTTTAAGACAACGGTCCTGGAAGGAGGCCCCATGTGAAGGCACCTGCTATTAAGCCTTTGTCGTGGATTGGGATGTCTAGTGTGGCGTTGGTACACCAAGTGAAGTATTCTCTCACTATTTCTACTTCCTTCTGTTTGCAGCCAATGATTGAGTGCGAATCCCCCTTGTATTTACACAGCTGCATGAAATTCATCGGGAATAGGTATTTTAACTGCCCGAAGTTATAAATTCTCCATGTTCGCAACATCTTTAACTACATTTATATGTTGCCATCTAGGGTTGTTGGGAAGTACATACACCAGAATCACTCGTCCAGCTTGAGCGAGGTCATCATCCACTCGTTTGTGACGATGTAGCTATTAGGATATTTGTTCCGTTATAGGTCTTGAGATGTGGTAACTTTGCTGTGGTTGGGATTTTGTAATCCAAGAGCTCCTTGGCCAACGGAGATGTTACGCTACGTGACATGCAGTCTTCATTTGGGATGGAAAGGCACCCTGTGGGTTATACTGTTGGGTAGTGATATAGAGTTGCATGAGCATGTTGTTATATACTAGAGAGTGGCTAGGGTTTGGCTCGTAGAATACTTGTTATGGGAAAGGGAAGGTTAACTTTTGGGTAGATAGTAGGGGTGAGTTTTGTGTAAGGGGATTATTGGGCACAAGTTGCTGGTACTATGGGATTGTGGTGAAGAAAGGTATGCTAGTTGCGAACGGAGGTGTTTGGAAAGCCGTTGTTTGGTTTCTCACCATTTGATTCAGTGGTGGTGTCTGGAAAAACACCGGTTGTTCGCTTGCAATTTGGTTAAACGGTGGTGTCTGGAAAATCATCTGTTGTCCGCCTGCTATCTGGTTAAGCAGTGTCGGCTGTGAGAAATTCGGTGTGGCGCTGATATCTTCCACCGTTGGCGGTGTGGTGCTACTTGATATCACCGTTAATTGGGGCGTTTGCATCAGAGTGCTTTGTGTTGATACGACGGTGGAAGAAGTTTTCCCGTCGATGACCGATTGCCGTGGTTCAGTTGTTGGACTGGTGGTTACCGTCGAGCCGCCTTTGTGTGGCATTTCATGGGCGATTACTGTGAGAATCGGGATGGTGGTTTGTTCTAACGACATCATAGATCTGATGAGGCTAGTTTGTGTTCCGCTGATTCCCCTAGTGTCGTCGGATGCCATTCTCTCACCGATGGAGAGTGTGCTTTTGGTTTTTTTTTCACATTATGGATGACACTAAATGATGTGACCTGGTTCCACAACGATGGTGGTCTATGCCTTCTATGATTCCGATGAACCTGCGACGTTACAACGAGAAAGGATCGTTAGCCGTTCTCTAGGAGGAGGCTCTCGGGAAAACACTATGACGGTCAAGTCAGTGGATAGACTTGAGATTGTATTGGGAATAAACTGAGAAAGAACGACTTACTTCCCAAGGAACTTGGGGTGTCCTTTTATATTGAATCCTTGTGCTAGTCCATACGGGACAAGGGCATCAGACCCGATAGGATCGGGGACGCTGATTGGGCGATCATGCTCCTTAATATGTCAGAGCTAATGATTGGTTCAGGTGGTAATGCTCTGAGCATCTGCCTTGTTTCCTGAGACTGTTACATGTGTCCCAGAGTGGAAGGCGCCCCTGGTGGGCCGAGCCTTTCTCCACAAGCACCCTGCTCTTAAGGGTGCTAATGGGTGCTAGGTTCCGTCAGGCTTAACTTGCGGGGCGCGGCTTCTTCGTGCACGCTAGGGGCACATCATCAATTATAAACATGAAAATCAATAGTGTAGGAAAGAAAATGATATATATATATATATATATATATATATATATATATATATATATATATATATATATATATATATATATATATATTACCGTTGCCTAACCAAAAAAAAATTCAACCAATAGGAAGAAGAGAGAGGGTGCGCCAGCTCCTCCCCACAAATTCCTTCCCTCACCGTTGATGCGGTGTTCCGGTGAGCTGGAAAACATCCCACATCCTCTTCGCTCGGCACACTGTGCGACCTAAATCTTAAATTCACTATCTTTATAAACATACATAGCTTTACACATTCATGCAAATTAACTTATAACAATTTTATTAACAATATTACTTCTAATGATTTATTTCAAACGCAAAATTCATCAACTAAAGGGCTAAAAGGATGGAAAAATAGGCCTTGAGTTTTGATTTCCAGGTTCCGATTTACCTATAGAAATCCACAAAGAAAACCAGAAAATCAAAATGAATCGTCGACATCATCAAGCTAGAACATACCCAAATCACTTGCATTTTGATTTTGATTTCTTGGTTTCAAGTTTTATTAGTGAAAAAGAAACCCAAAAATGCAACTCAGAAGAAACATGCAAACCCAAAAACCCAAATGCAGACCTCATTCGAAGTCTAATGAGGACCATCTTTGATGTTCATTGAAGAAATCACGAAGATAATCAAAGAGTTATCATCGTGAAAGTCCACCTTAGCTATTCCCTTGCTGAAGGTGCACTTCTTCTACCTTAGTCATCCCCTTTGTATTTAAACTTGTTGTCGTCAGAGTCTACTTCCATGATCATTGCGTCAATTCCTCATTTGTCTATCGGTGTCCATGGCTTCCCATTATCGATCCTAACTTTAACGATGAGATCTTCCACCAGCATTGTTTGGATTCGTTAGGATACTACTGATGTAGTTTTCGTGGTTGATTTCTTGGATCTGATGAGGAAACCGGGAAATGGTAATACATTATGTTACAATACAAGATAATAAGTTAGGATTGATGGTGAACGAGAAAGAAGATTGTGAAGGGTAGGGGAGTCGATAATTTTGTGCTTAGTGATGGTGGTCAAACTCATTGAAATCGAACGAGGGTCAGTGTTTTTGTTACCATCTCTTTTTCTTTGAATAAATGTTAAGGTAAATTACATAAATGACCCATGCAATTTAAGAAAATAATCATAAAATATAAAGATATATGAAAAGAGAAAAAACGATAAAAATATCATTCTACATAAACTTAACGACATTTTTAACAATGTGTATCGGAGGGAACATCTATGTAATATCAACAAAACACAATGACTCAGTTTGTTCGTTTTCTTGAAGTTAGACTATGTGTACCTATTATATCATACTATATGGATCATATTTATATTTTTCTCTTGAATTTGAATGTCAATGCTTTTGTATGTCACAAATCACATAAATATTTATAAAAATTGAAAAATTCAATAGCAAAAGCGAGAATCACAAACTATTAATTGCAAAAACTAACACAAAAGCGAGAATCACAAACTATTAATTGCAAAAACTAACACAACATACCATTTTAATATCTTATTAATAATCCTACCAACGAAACATATCTTTATAAAATATGACTGTTACAAGTTAATAAACATTTTAATATCTTTTTAATAATCCTACCAACAAAACACATCTTTATAATATATGACTGTTACAAGTTAATAATGAATAAGTAAAAGTAGGCAAAGGCGTTAGACACATGTATCAATTTTACAGGTTAATTATGTATTTGATTTATAGTATCATATGTTTGGTTTTTTGTGGGTGAGTGGTACGTGTATTAACACTCGTTTTATATTAGCCTAAGTTCAAAAGCAAGCCAACTAGGAGGATCATAATTTATTACTTTTTACTTTAAAACGCATCATAAAATTATTGCTTATCATATGTGAGAGAAAAATCTCATATACAATTTTGCATTTCCGGAGGAGAGTATCGAATGGTCCCCCGGAGATGGAGGCACTATCAGATATGCAAATTAGCCAAAGATTGCAAGACACTAAGCCGGTCAGTACTTCGGCGCTTGAAGGAGAGGGTGAGTTGGTGAGGCGAACCATTGGACTAGACGGTGACGTTTTATAACCAAATGACGAGTGCATGATATTTTACTAGGATTAAATTTTAGTAAGAGTTTTGTTTTTTTCTCATGGATGAAGTTTGATTTTTATAAATTTTCAAAATTTTTAAAAGATAGTGGGCATGGTGTCGGTAGTCACAGTCAAAAACCAAAGATGTGATTTTTTTTAAGGTTTAAAAAAGTACATCATGACTTTGAGTTTCAAGATTTTTATTTAACATCAAGCTTTAACAAAATTTCGTCTTAAATTAGATATTTATATAAAAATAAATAACGGTGGAATGTGTATATATATATAGTTAGTTTCATTTGAGACCACCTATATTTTGTGAGACCGTGAGACGTATTTTTTAATTTTTTTTAATTTTTTTTATTTTTTTTAGTTAATTCATATTCCGAAAATAATATTTAAAAAAAGAATTTTTTGATTTTTCCATTTATTTTGCATTTTAAAATTATTTTTAAAATATGTACAGTGTAATATTCTATTTCGAATATTTCACGTATTTTTCAAAAAAAATAGAATTTTTTTTTATTTTTTTAATTTTTTTTTTAGTTAATTCAAGTTCCGAAAATAATATTTAAAATTTTTTTTTTTAGATTTTTCCATTTATTTTGCATTTTAAAATTATTTTTTTAGATTATGTCAGTGTAATATTGTATTTAGAATATTTGACGTATTTTTCAAAAAAAAAAAAAAACGGAATTTTTTATATTTTTTTATATTTTTTTTAGTTAATTCAAGTTCCGAAAATAATATTTAAAAAAAGAATTTTTGGATTTTTCTATTTATTTTGCATTTTAAAATTATTTTTAGATTTGGTCTTACGGTCTCATAAAATTAGAATGGTATCAAATGAACCTGAACCTCTATATATATATATATATATATATATATATATATATATATATATATATATATATATAAAATACAACCTAATCACGTCTAATATTATTATTTAGAACCATGATTTTTATTTTTATAAAAATTGTATATATCTTTTTCAAATTAAAAGAAAATCAGTAGCATCTTGATGTTATCCAAGTCACCGCAACCTATTTTGAGGATATACAAGTATTTTGTCCAAGATATGTCCAAGATATGCAATGTTAGCTAATATACATAATTTTTAACTTGAACACAAATAACTCTAAAGGGTTTGCAAAATATATTTATACTACTAGAAAATCAATAAATATCTACCGCAGAATATGTAGTTATTCCGTAGCTGGGGTTACCTATGGAATTGTGACGAAAACATGTCGTAGCATAATCACCCGTGGGTAAATAATAGCGACGGATTTGAGAGGAATTAGCTACAAGATACCGACAACCTTTGTATCCGTCGGTACTCTGTAGATATTCTGTCACTAATTTAGGGCATTGATTTCCGTAGGTATTATATTCCGTAGATATTTTCCGAGGGAATTCTTCCATAGGTAATATTTCGTAGGTATTTTCCATTTTTCTAGTGTATATATATATATATATATATATATATATATATATATATATATATATATATATATATATATATATATATATATATATATATATATATATATATATATATATATAGAGAGAGAGAGAGAGAGAGAGAGAGAGAGAGAGAGAGAGAGAGAGAGAGAGAGAGAGAGAGAGAGAGAGAGAGAGAGAGAGAGAGAGAGAGAGAGAGAGAGAGAGAGAGAGAGAGAGAGAGAGAGAGATTATTAGGAAGGGCCACTGCCATCATATATACATGAATATGACCTAGCTAGAAGAAGGAATAGGCATTTATACAGAAGTAGCTATACACCATGAAGCCTTGTAACCATGGCTGCCTTAACTGAATCCTAAAACTGTTGTCTCTCTTGTCAATTTTCTAACTTCATAAGCGGACAAAAGCTTGCATAGTTGCAGCTCCAACATCTGTTAATCTGACCTCCATCAACTACTAAACATGAAACTGGTATAAACTCATTTATTCAACTTTGTTTCACATTGATTGCATATATGTGGTACTTGTTACTTTATGAAGTTCTTTTTACATATATAACATATAAAACAAAAAGAGAAAATCCTATAGTATGTTGATTACCATTTAAATTACCCATATCCCTAAAAGACAGAAAAATGAAAAGATCACAATAATGGCCATAATTATACCTTAAACCCTAATCCAATTTCTTCTTATTATGGCATATAAGGG